AGGAGGAGAGAGCTCACAACACCCCCAGGCTGGGAAGAAAGTGGGGATTGGTAGGAAGGATAAAGGATAATGGGGAGACGAGGTCATAGCAGGGACGTTACATCATGTCACCTGGACTCCTGGGCCCAGCTTTGTCTGAGCCACCCACTTGGTGACTTGAGACAGTGGAGGTTTTTTTGTTGTTATTGCAGTTTTTGGCTGGAGCCAGGCTTGAACCCACCACCTCCACCTCCAATATATGGGGCTGGTGCCCTACTCCTTGAGCCACAGGCACCGCCCCAGTGGAGGTTTTCCAATAGCTTTAGATAGAGTTGAATTTGTCACGTTCAATGGAAGAGTCCAGATGTAACAGGCAATCCTTGGGGTGCTCCTGTTGGATTGTCAATCACGTAGCTGCCTCGCGGTGGGGGTGGCCCCCACAATGGCGAGGGGTGTGGGCTCTGAAGCCCCACTTCCCTGGGCGAGAACTTGCTCTGGTGTGGGCAGCTGCGGCCTTGGGCAGGTTGCTTAATGCATCTGAGCCCCGGGCTTCATATCCATGGACGGGTGGTGTTTACATCACCTCCATTTCAGAGGACTACACGGGCCTGGTCAGAAGTGCCAAAGAAGTGTCTGCTGAAAGCATAAATAGCATCCAGCTCCCTGGAGGGTCAATGAGCTCAGCACGTGCGTCATTTCCAGGATGCCGGGGGCGTCAGCAGGAGGCTCACGTTACCCAACCCAGCCGTCCGGCCACCTCTGCGTGCTCTCTTGTTCTGGAAGCTCCACCCTCCCCCTCGGCTTCTCTCAGAGTAGAGAACTGGGAGCTGAGAGCCTTTGTCCAAGGTCCCTGGGCTCCCAGTGCGGCAGAGCAGCCCTTCACCGGTAAGGACTGGACCCAGGTGTGCCAGTCTTCAGAAGGGGAGGCTGCTGTGCACCCCTACACAGAGGCTGCTGCTGTTGCCTGAGAGTTTGGAGGTGTTTGTGTCAAATCTCTGATGTGGCCTTAATAGGAATCCTTCAGTGCACATTTATGCGCATGCTGACTTTGATCCGCAACATGAACCCACAGAGACACGTTTTTGTGAGACTGGCCGACTTTCTCGCCCCTGGTCCAACAGCTTCCGGTTCCGCCCCTGGAGGCAGCTGGGCCCATCCAGCCTTGAGTCTCTGCCCTAACCCTTCAGGACACTGCTCCACTTCTCTGGGGACCCTGCACCTGCTTCTTGTCCACTCTGCTCCTCTAGTGGAACCCGTCTCCTCCCTCTCCCTCCAGGTCATCCCTCTGGGAGCATGGCTCCCGCCTCTGTGCACGCCAGCTTGGCTTCCTGCCCCCACAGCCCAAACGCCCACATTCTGTCTGCTCCCTGTCCCCCTGCGTCTCAGCAGCCCCCACACTCTGTCTCAGTCCCCTGTGGGAAACTGTCTGATGGGCTGCAACGGGCAGACCACCAGCCCCATAGAAGATGCGACCACCTGCAGCCTTATTTAGAGAAAAGGCCTTTGCAGACTTAGTCATGTTAAGGCTCTTGGGACGAGATCATCCTGGATTAGTGTGGGCCTTAAATCCAATGACCTGTGTCCTTATTAGAAGTGGGAAGTTTGGGCAGACACAGAGAAAGCCACATGAGGACAGAGGCAGAGACGCGACAAAGAACGCCAGAGGCTGCTGGAGCCCCCGCAAGATAGAAAGAGAGAGGCCCGGTTGAGAGTCAGACACCAAAGGAACTGGCCCTGCTGGTGCCTCGTTCTCAGGCTTTTGGCCTCCAGAACTGGGAGGATAAGTCACTGCTGTTTGCAGCTGCCCAGTTTGCGGTTCTTTGGTATGGTGGCCTCAGGACACCAGTGTAAGTGGGCAGGTGTTGCTGGAGCAGCCAGCACAATAGTGCCAGGGCTCAGCGGCTCCCAGCAGCTCAGGGGGCCAGCCAGCTTCTGGTCCTGTCCTTGTAGGGGACATTCTTCTCGGGGCCCTGTCAGACCTGGTCACACCGTGCTGCCTGCCTCCCAGCAGACGGTTCATCTCCCGTTACAGAGAGCAGAGAGGCACATCTGGGACTCTGTAAATGTCTTGTTCTCTGCCTGCAGGCTCGCCTGTGCCTAGAAACAGTCTGACCCCTAGACCCAAACCTGTTCTTGTCTTAACACAGCAAATCTCTATTGTTCTTGCTCCGGGTCCACCCTCCAGCACTCCAGACACAGCCTCGCTGTCACACGTCTGGCCAGTCCCTCCTTGCTAATCGGAGTCTGGCTTCTGCCTCCATTGTGCTGTGAAGCTGCTCTTCTTGAGTGAGTGAGCAGTTCTTGTTGCTGAGTCCAGCAGAAACTTCTCCGTCCTGGGCTTCCTTGTCGTCTGGATGTGATCCCATCTGGCCTCCTCCTCCCTGAAGTTTTCTTCCCCCGTGTCTGGATGGTTTCTCTTCCAAGTCCTTTCTGCACGCCTCTTCCTCCCAACATAGCATGCTCAGCATGCTCTTCCTCCGAAGGCCATGGGCCCCCTTCCCGCTCCAGCTGAGGGAGTCTCCTAGGGTCGCACGCACAGCAGGTGCCACAGCAGGTGCCTGGAGGGAGGGATGACCCACTGCCTCCAGCTTGTGGCTCTCCCAGGCCTCACCTCCAGGAATGCCCCACTGGGATGTCCACACAAGTCCATGTGGGACATTTGCTCCAAGCTGTTATTTATTTCTGTATCCTGAGAAAATCTATTACCCTGCCCATTACTGGCCAAGTGTCCAAGCCCAAAAATCTGCCTCAAGAAGTAAGTCTTCAATTTCTTAAGCTTTAGAGCATCTCTTCAGCCTACCTCTTCCTCTCCCATGCTCAGTGGCTACCCCTTACCCACTGGCTTGACCAACTGTCCTCTTCCCATCACACCTCCTGAGCCTGGCCCTCTGGGTGGCCTAGTTTTGTCCCTTCCTGCCAAGGACACCCTCACCACCACCACCTCACCTGGGCATACCCGACACCTGCCTGGTGCGCTGTGCCGATGCCCCTGGAAATGCTGGTTCTCACCTAGATTGCTGCCCCAGCTTCTGTCCACCTAGAAAGCTCTTGTCATGTGGCAGCCCAGACCTCAGCCCTCTGTGAAAATGTCCTTTCTCCACGGGGGCTGTGGCCCACCCTCACCACTAGTCCTTGTTGTTCCTATGTTCCTGGTGCTTTGGGAAAACTTCCATGTCCCCAGCAGCAGTGCCACGGTGCCCTCACATTGGTGACCTGCGAGTCTGTCTCTCGCCCTCCCGCTGCCATGGCCCCGGTGCCTGATGACGGCTCAGTGCACGGCATTTAGTTGTGAGTGAACAGATAACTTTGCACATAGCCTTGAGCCAGGCCCTCCGCCTTACTCTTCTCTGAGGAGGTTTGGAACAGGGAAACCAAAACCGACTCACGGGTTCCATCCCAGGTCTGCTGGGTTGATGTAGAGGATGCCAGCCCTGGACACCGTGGCCGGGGTGGCCGTCCTCAGGTGGCTGATCTCAAATACCAGCCTCATGGTGCGGTTCAAGGGGATTCGCTCATTGCTGGCCAGGGTGAGGACCTAGGAGGGGGACAGCAGGTCACAGGTCCCACATCACCATGATGGAGTCCCAGGAGGGGTAGCTTGGAGCAAATATCTGAGTACAGGGAGATACTTGGCAACCCTGTGCCACCCGCTGGTGAGAGCAAGCCTTTTTCATCCTAGCATTTCTCAGCCCCACTCTGCCCCCTGCCCTGCCCTAGGACAGCCTGGGCAGCCTTCTGCACTCTTGCTCCAAGGCAGGACCACACTGAAGGATCACACTTGGTTCTCAAACCCTCACCTTCTCTGGAAAGTCTTGTGTTCCCGCCTCTACCCAACAGAGGATCATTTTTTATGAATAAAACTGCTTCTAGGTAAGTTTGAATTCTGCCTCCCAAACATTCTGTGTAGTTTCCACGTGCTACATATAAATTGGAGAATGTTTCCAGGATCTCTACCCTAAACCACCTGCTACTAGAAAGCCCTTGAGGAGAAGCCCCGCCTGCATAGAGGGGACGTGTCCCATGGAGAGGCCTCACCGCTGCCCCTCCCCGCCCCGCCGCGGCTGTGGGGTTAGCTTAGAGCCTGGGCTGCACCTTGTTGTCATCCATGACGGTGTTGAGGGACTCGATCCACATGGGGTCTATGTCCCCATCCAGGACGATCCACTTGGGGCCCTCGTGAGTGAGGTTGGCTAGGTCTCGCATGATGGTGGAGAACAGGCCTGGAAGGAAGCCCAGCTCTCAGCAGCTGCGGGGGGCACGGGGGGCACAGAGGCCGGGCAGGGGGCAGGCCAGGCACCCTCCCTTCCTCTTCCTCCTCCCCCTCTCTCCCTCACTCCTCCTTCTTTTCCCTTTTCCCCTCCTTCTCCCTCCCACCCCTCACTCAGAGGCTGCCTGTCCCCTGCTTCAGATGGACAACAAAGGCCTGAGGACCAGAGTGACAAGAGTGACAGGCTTCTTTCCCTCCCTACTCCTCACCCCTGGGGATGGTGTGGCCTTCCTCTGAAATGCCCCAGCCAGGCCTGGCCTTTGCCCTCTGACCTTGCACCCCAGCCCATTCTTGGACACCCCAGTTCTCTTTGTGAAGCCACTTCCCAGAGGAACTCCAGCCCAGAGCCTGGCCTAGGCATGGCTGCCCTGGGCCCAGCCTCGCCCTGTGTCCCTCTCGTAGGTTGCACTGTCCTTGCTTGGGCAGAGCAGCCTGAGGTTCCCACAGGTCCCAGCTTGGGTGTGCCCCCTGGTGGCCCCCACAGCACTGTCCTCATGGTGCTGCCCCCACAGCTGAGCTGCCTGCCTTGCCCCGGGCCCCCCTCCTGGTACCGTCTTTCCACTCTCTGGTGGCCGGGTTAATGATGCCGAAGAGCTCGTCACAGGTGACGGCCTTGGGGTCCAGGTCCACAGCCACCGGCTTCCTCTTCAGGTTCTGGTAGGTCTTGTTGAGGGATTTGAGGACCTGGGCAAAGGTGGGAGGCCATTCACCTGTGATTCCATGTCCTCAGCACCCCCTGCACCTGCCCTGGACAGGTATGAGACCCTTTATGTGAGCCCGGACAATCACCCTTTTGTGATCATGTGCAGAATCTCCTGTGATCTGGTTTGCTTTGGGGGCACGTAGGTGAGTTTGCCCCCCACCCCCACCAGCAACCATGGGTGCCAGGGGCTAATCATTCACATTTACAGCTGCAGAGGGCCACTTGCCTCAGGCCGGGCTAAGCTCTGGAAAAATTCACCTTAGCATCTTCCTACTAATACAAGTACTATAGGCCACAGGGAGAAGCTCCCGATCTTCCACCCAGAGAGACGGGAGTGCTGTGGTGTCACAGCTCACAGCAACCTCCAACACTTGGGCTTAAGTGATTCTCTTGCCTCAGCCTCCCAAGTACCTGGGACTACAGGTGCCCACCACAACACCTGGCTATTTTTTGTTGTAGTTGTCATTGTTGATTAGCAGGCCCGGGCCAGGTTCCAACCCGCCAGCCTCGGTATATGTGGCTGGTGCTGTAACCACTGTGCTATGGGCACCAATTCGTGAGACAGGTTTTAAGGACATCTCATCTGTGTGTACGTACATTCCTTTTTAGGAAACGGGGTTCATACAGTTCCTGCCTTTACAAAACCACTTGCTGTGAGCCCCCCCCCCATTATTAGTCTGAGGAACAATTTGGCATTAGCGTCCTTACTGGGGGCAGCGCATGAACTCAGGCTGGTGGCACAGACTTTAGTGGCATCAGCCACCACCTTCCATACCTCACCAGCCGCAGGGCACAGACAGGGGACAGGAGTGGGGGTGGGGCTGGCCCAGAGAGGGGGAAGCAGGAGGAAGGCCCCTGGGGGGCAAGGCTGTGGCGCCTTCTCCCCTCCCCGTAATTGTCCTTCCTGGACTGGGACATAGTTGAGCGACTCCCCAGGGCAGGGAGAGGTGATTGGGGGGGGGCTGACCCTTCCCCTAGGCCTCCTGCACCGGCCAGGTCCCTGCCGGGCCCTCTGGGGGAGGCACCTGAGACTTGCCGCTGCCCGCGTTCCCGATGACGAACACGGAGTGTCGGACCTGCAGCAGCTCCTCCAGCTGCACCACCTTCAGCACGAAGTTGTCCTCGGCCTGCAGCCTGAGCTCCACGATGCTTTGCTTGATGACCTGCCGAGACACAGGCGAGGCTGGGCACTGGGACAGCCTTTCTTTTTGGCGGGGTCCTCCTGCCCAGTGGGACAGGGGAGAAGAGAACCATAGCCCTCTAAGTGGGGGCATCTACAAGTTTGGCTACTGCTGCTTCTGTGACCTTGGGAGGGAAGCATTTGCCCAAAGCCTCCCAGCCCCATCTGAGGGAGTGACCCCCCAGCCAGGTCTAGGGACGCAGTGGCAGCCCCAGGGTCTTTCTCATAGCCTGTGGAACGTGGCTTCCTACCCAGGGTTGCATTTGCCATATGGGTCCCTGTCTGACATCCTAGGCAGGGCCAACCTCTCAGTGTGGAGAAAAGGCCCTGGGTGACTCTACCTTCTCAAAGTTCAGGTCTCGCTTCCGAGGCACGTCCAGAGCTGGGAAGAGGTCCCCAATCAGCCCCATGAACACAGGCAGGTCGTCGGTCACGATTTTGGGGATGTTGAAGTCTCTCAGGGCCCTCATGAGCACCTGGTCCTCTGCTCGGCTGGGGTCCCCCCTCTTCAGGGAACCGGCCACCACCAGCACAGACTTGATGGCGCGGAGGCCCCAGTCATAGTGGTCCTGTGGGCAGCAGGGACGGCAGGCACAGCTGAGTTCTCCCTCCCACCCTGGCTGGTGGGGGTCCAGGAGGGCTGGGAGGCAGCCTCAGCCGTGCCCAACACGCACCATGCACTCCTGGGCCCTGGACACACACCTGCTTAGACAGCAGCTCCTTGCACAAGGTGTAGAGGGTGATGAACTTCCTGGCCAGCAGGCGCGCCTCCAGGAAGCCCTCGGCCACCAGCATGATCTCGCAGATCAGTTCAAAGTCAGGGACCACCATGGCGCAGGGTCTAGGGAGATCAGACAGGTGGGCTCCTCCCTCATCCCTCCCCCACTCATGCCTCCATCCGTCCTTTGTCTCACCTGGGAATGCACGCTTCCCCTGCCAGTGGGCCGCAGCATATGGGTCACCTCCTGGGGCAGGGAGCCGGGCTCCCGGCCCTGTCCCTGACCTCCCTTTGGGTGTCTCTAGCCTGCCAGTGTGACCCTTCCAAGTGCCAACCAGTGGCCTGCCTTCCATCGGCTCCTACAGTGTTGGGCTGTGTCTCAAGTGTGCCATCTCCTGCCCACCAAGTGCTGTCCTGATGAGCCCCGTCTTCCATGGCTTCCCCCTCCGCTCTCTCCCTGGCATGGGGCCAGCCCAAGTCACACCTGTGCCACACACCTGAACAAAGCCTTTAAGTTCTCAGGCAGCTCTGTGCGCCCTGCGTACCCCGGGTTCATGGTGATGAAGATGCCAACGGTGGGGATGAGGCTTATCGTCTCTCCGAGGAAATTAAATGTTTTTTTCTTGGCCCGAATTGCATCTTGGACACATTTCACCTGAGTGGTTGGTACACAGACATGTCAGCAGGGAAGTGGCCGGCTTCGCTGAGCCAGGTGGGTCTCTGTGTTACAGCGTGTGACTGAGTCTGCAGTGTCCTCCTAGTTTCTTTATTTTTATTTTTTTTGAGACAGAGTCCTACCCTCAGTGTCACAGCTCCCAGCAACCTCAAACCCTTGGGCTTAAGCGATTCTCTTGACTTAGCTTCCCAAGTAGCTGGGACTACAGGTGCCCACCACAACACCCAGCTATTTTTTTTTATTGTTGTTGCAGTTGTCATTGTTGTTTAGCTGGCCTGGGCTGGGTTTGAAGCCGCCACCCTCAGTGTATGGGGCTGGCCCTGTAACCACTGTGCTACGGGAGCTTAACCCTAGTTTCTTTTTTAAATTAAGCTTTTACATCTGGAGGCCATTGTAGACCTTTCGCGGTTGTAAGAAAGAATGTGGGGGTGCCCAGTGCCCAACAGGGACATCTTAGACTACAGCGCAATGCAGCAGGGTCCTGGTGCTAGTGGCGGCCACCACGGGAGCCCTGTGCCCTTCCTGTAGCCACACCATGTCCCTCTGTTCCTCGCGCCCCCAGCCCCTTAGCGACTAGTATCTGTTCTGTTTCTGTGACTCTCATCTCAGTGAGTCTCCTCACTCAGTATGGTTCTTCGCAGGGGCTCCAGGCCATTGCCAGAACCAATAGTTCCCACTGTGGTTTTGCTGAGTGGTGTCCCACCTCCCAGCCTTCTGCGTCCTTTTCCCATGCTGACAATGACTGGTCTGCTCATTGGACCACCTGACAGTCTTTCTGACCATCTATCCATGTCCAAGGTTAAACCCCACCCCGCCCCTGTCTGCATTTGGTCCTTTAAAGCAACCTTCCAAGGCAGCTGCAGATCTCCAAGTCCCCACTTGGGGGCGCCCAACACTTGCGGTGAGACATGTCCCACTTGCCTGGCTTCCCAAGTCTCCCTGAACCCAGGTTCCACTGCCCTGGTTTTCCTGCCTTTCCTGCCATGACTGGTCTGCAGAGCCCACAGTGTGACCTCTGGCAGGCAGGGACCGGCCGGATGCTTCCCACATCAACTCTCTCCTTCCTGCGGCCTCTGAGTCCATAAAACTCCAGTGTCCCTGGCTTGGCGCCTGTGGCTCAAGCGGCTAAGGGGCCAGCCACATACACCTGAGCTGGTGGGTTTGAATACAGCCTGGGACCACCAAACAACAATGATGGCTGCAACCAAATAGCCGGGTGTTGTGGTGGGCACCTGTGGTCCCAGCTACTTGGGAGGCAGAGGCAGGAGACTCGCTTGAGCCCAGGAGTTGGAGGTTGCTGTGAGCTGTGATGGCACAGCACTCTACCCAGGGGGACAGCTTGAGGCTCTGTCTCAAAACCAAAACCAAAACCAAAACCTCCAGTGCCCCAAACAGGCTCCATCCCCCCAGGCCGAGTTCTCTGACTGTGGGGTAGCAGGAGAGGCCCAGGCAGCAGCCAGCACTGCCCACACGCTGGGTCAGGGCCTCATGCCCAGACACTGGTCTCCAGCCCCCAGGCTCAGGGGTTCTTCAGGCTGGAAGGAGCCACCTAGGGGGAGGTGGCCACCTGTGATTCACTGGCAAACCAGTGTCATCAATTCCATCTTATAGATGAGAAAATGTAGGTGCAGAGAGTTCAAATCCCTGACACGCAGAGCATTAGGGAGTTAACGTAGTAAATTTAAGCTGGGCTTTGAGCCCAGGCTAGGGTCTGAGCAGTCTGGGCCCCCATGCTTGCGCCCTTCTCCTGAGCTCCCTGCTGTGGGTGTGGGTGGCAGTCTCAGCACCATCCACCCACCCACACCCTGACTCCCATCTCCTTCAAGAATATTGCAGTTATTCTGGGCCTCCAGGTCAGCCCCAACTTACCCTACAGAGCCCAGGGGGTCTCCACCCCAATAGGCATTTGTTTGAGGCAGAAATGATTGTCTAGTCATGTGGGTGGCCCTGTGGGTGACTTTAACATGGAGTGGGGGTGGTGCTGGCACAGGACGGCTCCCTCACCAAGAACCCCACTCCTGCCCTGCCGTCCCGGTGCTTCAGCCTGAGCATTCCATGTTGCCTCCCTGCCTCCTCCCACCCCGTTCCTTTCCTGACACTCCTGTTTGGTACCCTTGTCTAACCTAGAAACTGCTAGTATCCTTCAATGCCCAGCTCCACAGATACCCACAGCAAAGCCCTTGGTCCTGCTCTCCCTCCCGAGTGAAATTATCTCCTCACCTGTATTCATCTGCACGTACGTCGCCATACCAGATTTTTACTGTTTTCAACCCGAATGAATGTCTAACCTGACCCCAGGGGCCAGGTTGGGGGCGCCACCCACCTCTGTGTCACACCATCCCCCAGACCCTGGAATGCTGCAGGTGGGTAAGGAGGTTCTGTCTGCTAATGGGAAGGGTGTGAGGTAAGGGGCAGGCAGGCAGCCAGTCACCTGGACTCATGCAGGGGCCTACCTGCACAGCAATCACGGACAAGACCTCCACCGAGATCCGGTTGAACTCATCAAAGCAGCCCCAGGCCCCGGTCTGGGCCAGGCCCTTGTAGATATTCCCACAGGACTGGAAAGGGTGAGACGGAGGGAGCCATTGGCGAAGGAAGAGCCTGGGGCCAGTGGCCTGAGGGGGGTCATCTGCCCCCTCATCAAGCTTCTCCCTGGCCCCCGTGGCTCAGCCAGGCTGGAGACATCTAGGCCCCAGAAGGCTAGCAGGCTCACTTCTCAGAGAGGGCTGACCCCGTGGGTGCCAGAAAGAGCCATCCTTTTGCCGGGACCACACAGGTTGAGACCCTGGATGGAGGCTCCTGCAGGGCTCCTGGCCAGAGGGCTAGACAAGTGCCCACTCACAAAATCTAGGCTTTGATTTATTCTTAGCCTTTTCTTTTATGTACACAAAGGACGAGTCCTCTCAACTGAGGAGCTTGGGGGGCCTGGCTGGGTAATCAGGACGACCCTTCAGTTTCCATCTAGGATTCCAGGTGGTTACTACCCCCTTCTGGAGGTCCCAACCGCAGATTGCACTTTCCTAAGTCCGGGAGGCTGCAGTACACTGTGTGGTCTCAACAGCCCCAGGGGCAGCTGCCTGTCCTCAGGATGGGGTCCCAGATCATGGGGCTCAGATCTGGGCAGGGTAGGCGAGGCCTCTTCAGGCCTAGGGTCCCAAACTCAGGGACTGCCCCCACCTCCCCTCCTGCAGGAGGCTGCAGCAGCCGGGACCACTGAGACATCCCTCCCCTGCTCACTCATTAGAGAACGGTCTGTGATGACTGATGGGACCAGGCCTGTCCTCTGCTCCCCTTCCAAGCCCACCTAGACATAGCTCTTACTTGGTCCCCACACACACCCCCATAAGGGAGGTTCTATCCTCTGCCTGGAGTCCCCAGCTCTGGTGCAATCTTGGAACAGAGGCTGGGAAAAGGTTACCTCCAGGGCAGGGTGTTTGGGGCCTAATTTGTCAGACAGGCCACCAGAGGGGGACACCACCAGCAACAGGGTCCCCAGTGCTGGTGCTCTTTGCAGATGTTCAGGGATTGAGAGCTTGCTGTGGGGCCTCCTGGGACAGGGTGCTCAGATTTCTTCCCATGTGGGGATGTGGGTCCCAGCTCTGGGCCTCAGCTGCACACCTTGTAGTCCATTTGCTCGGAGCAGTTGAAGACGTACACCATGGTGCCCAGCGCTCTGCCCAGGTCCTTAGTTGTCTCCGTCTTGCCAGTCCCCGCGGGGCCAGCAGGCGCCCCGCCCATGATCAGATGGAGGGACTGTGTCAGGGTGATGTAGCACCTGTCGGGACCTCTGCTTAACCACTGTGCCAGTGACCCCACGGCCGCCCACTGCTTTCACTGAGGGTCTAGTTAGATGTGTTGCTGCCCCTGCCCAGCCCCAGGAGGCACGACAGCGAGAGGGCAGGAAGGACTTCAGATGTGACTGAGGGACAGGCACCGTTCAGGGCAGAGGTGGCACAGGGACCTTTCCCACTGTGGCACTCGGGCAGGGGAGTACCACTAAACTGGTGATGGTTGGAACACCACCCACATCTACTGAGGGTGGGCTCAGGGCTGGGTGGCTTCTGATCTTAGTGTTTGGGGTTGTTGAGTAATTTATTCAACCCTCAACAAGCTCATGGAAATTCATAAAACAATATCCCCATGGAGCCTGAGGCCTGGCATAGTGATGGGACTAACCCTGACCATGGGTCCCCCTGACCCAAGTGCCCGGCTCATTCAGCCTCAGCAGCTGGTGTCCAAGCCTGACAATGTGAAGAATCACAGAGAAGGGACCCAAAGGAATGCGGGACTTGTTTAGGGATGGGTGTGATGGGCCCACAGGTGCGTCCCCACCTGTCAGTGAGGGGGGTGATGACCAGCCGCGGCGTGTTGCCCAGATACTCATAGGAATACCGGATTTGGGCATCACAGATGTTGGCAAAGCAGTGTCGCTTCTCCTCATCCCAGCGGTGCCGGAGCTGGGACTGCCAGGTGAAGGCCTGAGAACTCTCCACCTGCAGAAGGAGCCGCAGCTCTTCTTGTTGGCTGAGAGCAACGCAACCGGCAGACCCACCAAGAAGGCCAGGCTGCCTCCTGCCGGCCCCTGGGCCCTCAGGCGCCTTCCTGGGCCCTCAGGCGCCTTCCTGGCCCTCCTCCTTCCTCTCCAGCACCAGGCATCCAACCTTACTGCTGCCCCCCACTGAATCTTGCTGAAGGATGAGTGCATCCCATGAGGGGGTATTGCTCATCTGATCACTGTGCCTTTTAGGCGAGGGGTTGGGGGCTGAGCTGGGGTCCTGTCCCAGCCACTGGAAATGGCAGGTTAGGAGCCTCTGAAAGCATGGCCGCAACAAGGTACATTGGCCCTTCACTAGCCACTCCCTGGGGACAGTGGGCACGTGTACCTTGGCAACAATCATTTTGGCCACCACGTCCCGGGCATGCACGTCAATGGTGCAGACCGTCATGATCTTCATCCTGTCACCGGGGTTGAGGTTCCCGATGAGCAGTGTGATAAGTGCATTCAGCTGGCTGATCTGCGAGAGGAGAGACACTTTCACAGACGCTGCGGGGTGCCACTGAGGGCTGGGTGGTCCCCCCATGGGGCCCCTGGGCTGTCTGGGTTCTCGGGAGATCATAGTCACAAGTGGAAGTTTACCACACTCTTGTTTACAGTAACAGAAAACAGGAGAATGTGGTGTGGGGTGTGCTAACCTTTGGGACAGGCCTGTGAGGGAATAGCACAGAGCCACCGAAAGTGATATAGTAGAAAAAAATTAATGCTGTGGGGAGAGGGTGGAGATTAAGTAAAAACAGTTGGTTTTAAAACTTTCCAGATAGTTTGTATATTTTTACATACAAATTGTACACATACAAAAAGACTAGGAAGCTACTAAGAAAATGTCAACAGTGTTATATTTGGGTGGTGGGATTATAGCTATATTTTTCTTTTTAAAAAAATTATCTTTGGTTTCAGCATTTCTAACCAAGAATCTTTAAGAAAAAAGACTTGCGGCTCGGCGCCTGTGACTCAAGTGGCTAAGGCGCCAGCCACATACACCTAAGGTGGCAGGTTCAAATCCAGCCCAGGCCCACCAAAAACAACAGCTGCAACCAAAAAATAGCCGGGCGTTGTGGCCGGCGCCTGTGGTCCCAGCTATTTGGGAGTCAGAAGCAGGAGACTTGCTTGAGCCCAGGAGTTGGACATTGCTGTGAGCGTGATGCCATGGCACTCTACCCAGGGGGATAGCTTGAGGCTCTGTCTCAAAAAAAAAAAAAGACTTGCAGTAGCATTTCACGATTTCCAGCTAAGACATGAAAGCTACATATTTCAGAAGATGTTGCTGTTGGGTACAAGTGCCCAGGGTCGCTGACACTTGGCAGCTTTTGACCCATGGGAATGTCAGTTTCACAAGGTCCAGTCTTGGAAAGGAAGATGCTTCTGGTAGTCACTTGGCAGAGTTTGAGATGGACGTACAGGATCACGAACCTGCTTTTTGTTGTAGTCTTTGATGGCGTTTTCATAGCCTTCCTCCAGCCTTGAAAACGCCAGGCCCACCTCCGTGGTCCACCAGATCTGGGTGCATGTGAGGGCAATCTGGAAACAGAGAGGCCCCCCCATTCCTGAGCAGTGAGCGGCCAGTTACACTAATAATAAAAGTTCCTGCTGCTGATGCCAACTGTTTTCCAATACAGGGTGGTGAACAGAGGGGCCGTGTGGACACAGCACACACCCTCGTCTCAGAGCTGCCCCTCCCCCACTGCAACACCC